ATTCAGAAGGCTGAGGCAGAATTGGGAGTTAAAGCCTAGCTCCACACCAAGACCTTGTCTCAAAAAACAAAAACAAAACTTTTATTTAAAATACGGTAGAAAAAGTAAATTCTAAGGCTCTGTAGCCATGTAGGAGGGTGATTGCAGCTTACAGACATGTGTTGTGGAGTCTACAATAATTCCCAACAGGTCTACTCTGAAAGAAAATGAGAAGTAAGGACCTCTGGGGCCTGCCTCTGCGTTCTGCCGTCCTGCTTTTCTATGAGAAGCTGACAAGTTTGCCAACGTGAAAAACTAAAGGCCAAGCATGAGTTGAAATTCTCTAAATCTGAAAGTTCAAGGTCTCTTCCCCTTTGTCTATTTGGCTGTTTGTGTCCATTGATTTGGAAAACTTCTTTACCCTTGATAATTCTTTCCTTTACTTTGATTTAGGTACACATATTACAAATATCCTTTTCTGGACTGTGGCTTGCCTTTTCATTTTATTTTTGGCACATTCGAAGAGAGAAATTCTTAACCTTAATGGAGTGAAGGTATTGATTTTCTCTCTTTTGGTTTGCATTTTTGATGTCTTAGTTAGAAAGTCAAGGTCAGAAAGCTACTTAAACACTTTAATAATGCTACTTTTCCCCATGTTTTCCCAAACATTTTAAACTTCAGTATTTCCATTTGTGTCAGCAATCTGGATTGTGTGCATGGTATGTGTGCTAATGCTTGGTTCATACTCTGTATCTATTATAGTCATGAATGTGATTGCCCTATGGTTCTCCCTTCCCATGTTGTTCTCATCTGGTTTGGGGTTCAACAATAAGTTGGGAACATGTCAGTCGGAATCTTTGCAGTGAACAGGGGCATGATAGCAATAAGGAAAATTCAAGAAAGCCAGGTGATGGTGCACACCTTTAATCTCAACATCCAGGAGGCAGAGACAGGGAGATCTCTGAGTTCAAAATCAGCCTGGTCTACAGAGCGAGTTCCAGGATAGCCAGGGTGACACAGACAAACCCTATCTTGAGAATAAAAGAAAAGAAAGAACTAAGAGAGGGAGAAAGGAAGAGAGGAAAAGAAGAAAAATAAAGAGAGAGACAGAAAAGAAAAGAAAATTCAAGAAAGTTGATCAAACAGAATGTCTACACAATGGCCAAAATGCAAAGGAACCAGGGGACACAGGAAACAGGGAAATCTTTATCAGTACCCATGCCAGCACTCCTAAGCAAGAACAACGAGGAATATGGAACAACTCAGAAAGAGTCAGGGAAGGTCAAGAGGCCACTTTGTGGGAGGAATGGGAAACAAATGCTGTATTATCACTCACCCTTGACCTCTACCTTATCCATTGACTAAATTCAAGCCTCATTGATGGAATTTCTGCAGGCCCTGGAGAAAGGGTAGGCAGAGAATAGATGAATTAGGAGACGCAGAACCAATAGGAACATAGATACACATGTGTATGCATGGTTCTATACGCATATGGAGAGATTTGTTGTACGATATTGGCTCATGTAATTACAGAGGTTGAAAGTTAACAACTTGCCATTTGCAAGTTGGAGATCCAAAAAATCCTTAAACATAAAAGTCCCTAAAATGAAAAGTTATGGTACTACAGAGGTTATGGAAGGGGACGCTCACTGACAGCTGGGCCCAGAAGTCCAAGGCCACCATATTCAACCCTAGCTGGAACGTACACATCAGTGCATTCGCATCCTTCCCAGCTCTGGATGTGCTCACAGTGGCTGCAAAGAAACAAGTGTTAATGATTAAGTGAGTTTACCCACTTGGAAATAATAAGGATTGGCTGCCTTTCTAAAGCCAATTCCTCCAATGCAAAGCAAGTTTGGGAAAACTAGCCTCTTCCCAACTGATCAGGAAGATCTGCTAGCTTTCTCCTAAATCAACTGCTGGCAGGGTGTTCCAGATAAGAGCAATTTCCCACATTTTCAGGACAGAGTGAATATTTCCACAGGAGCCAAATTTCATACAGCTCAACTATGGCCTCCACGGGAAGGAGTTATGTAAATCTAATGTGCCTGACTATTTGCAGTTAACAATTATAGTCATATCTCCCGAGTGTTTTGCATTGGAAAGGTTCTCTCTTAGCTGATTCCCTAAAAGCTTGGTGCACAAAAACCATAAACCACAAATCTGCACCTTGATGACGTCGATGCGCTTTATGGATGAAGACTAGATGGGAATGAATGTGTTAAAAGTGAAAGGGTGGCTGGGTGATGCCTCTGTGAATCAGAAGCTTGTGGTACAAGCATGGGGATGAGTTTGGATCTGCTGCACCCATTTCCAAATTAGGCAAGATTTTGATACAAGTAACTGTAACCTTGGTGCTGGGGACAGAGTAGGGGAGGGTCAGGAAAGGCTGATCCCACCCACTCACTGGCTAGCCATCCTAGAGTCTAGCCTAACAGTGAAATTCTCTCTCTCTCTCCCCTCTCTCTCTCTCTCTCTCTCTCTCTCTCTCTCTCACACACACACACACACACACACACACACACACACACACACACACATAGAGTGTAACATTAAATTGTGTACCAAAGAAAGCCAAAGAACTTAAGGAAAATAAAGCATTTTTACTTAGCAGTATGTCTGTAGTTCAGAACCATAATCTTCCTTTGTCTTATTTTAAGCAAGGTAGAGAAAGATCTTAGTATAAAACATATAAAGTTATTATCTTTTTAAAAGATGAATTTATTTTTATTTTATCTCCAGCAGCCCCCTGGTAGGAAAGGTAGGTGGGAGCAGCTATATGTTCCTCGGTCTGGGGCCTCCAGACACACAACAAGTTCAGCATTACCAGGATGGACCAGGCTGTCAACTCACAACCTACCTCTCACCTATCTGTGGTGGTTTGAAACTGTCTGAAAGAAAAAAGTTGAGTTCCAGGCTGTGCATGGTGGTACATATCTTGAGTCCCAGCACTCGGGAGGCAGAGGCAGAAGGATCTCTGTGAGTTCGAGGTTAGCCTGGCCTATATAGCAAGTTCCAGGACAGCCAGGACTACATTGAGAGTCCCTGTCTCAAAAACTAAAAGCAAGCAAATGAATACATGAATAAGGTTGAGCCCCTGCCCTCAAGAGACAGCATCCAATCCCGCGCCCTGCACGCAGGCTAACTTTACCTCTTTGTTTCAGTGTAGAAAAGTGTCAAACCACTCGTTACTTCTGAGGCTTGGCTGTAAACGGTGGCTCCACTCTACCTGGAACTCTAGCGATGCAGATGGCCACATCCTCTATTCACATAAGTCATTTTCTGCTCCCTGCTCTGTTTGAGCAGGGGATTTTCAGAGGGCTTCCGTCCTGCCTCTATGGACTATTTCATATAGATGGTGGGTCGTTCATCTTTTAATCTATTCTCCTCTGTATTGATTCAGCCTGACCGTCTATGTACCCTGGATGTCCATTGAATAGGATGTGCCCAGAGGCACTGAAAGGTGCCACAGTTTGAATCAGTATTCACCAAAGTCCTATGTGTGAAAAATCTGTTTTTTTAGGTGTGCGTTTGGAAAATCCATTCTAAGCTCCTTTTCAGGTAAAATGGCAGAATTTGAATGGTGAGCCCAAGGATAGGGTGAGGTTGAGATCCGGACATTAAGGACATGTGGCAGAGGGATCACTGTTTCTTGACTGTCCTGCAAAGCTGTTCCACTGAGCCAAGCTTGGGAATTGCTCTGCTGCTACACGTGGTGCTTGTGAGCTGGCTAACTCTGCCAAATCCCCCAACTGCTTCCCTTTTAAAGGTCCATGTCCATCCACTCTCTACTGTTTTTCTCTCTTCAACCCAACATCTACTGCCACCTCCAATTTCCTTCCTCCTTCCTGACTTCCATTTACTGCTCCAAACACACATCAGTTTTCCAAAATGAGAAGTATGCCTACAGGAGTCGTAAGTAAAACTATGTCCCCAGAGCTGGTATTCCCTTCTTTCTTGAGAGCATCCTGTCAAGGTTGTGACATCAGTTTTGGTCACTGTTTCAACGAGTTTGAACTGTCTTGCTCTGTTCTCTGAAGACAGGATTCATCTCTTTAGGTAAGTTTTGCTTGCCAGTCCCCACAGTGTATTCATGGAGAGTTTTATATCCTCAGAAACTCTTCATTTGGCAGTGATTCCATTTGCCTCACCACCTCTGCGTTAGCACTGCCAAGCCTAGATGGTCTAGACATTGTATTAAAAAACAGCTCCCTCTGGGACAGGCCTAGAAGACATTGGCACAGGACCGCAACTATCTATGGATATTTAGTAGATTAAAAATCTTCCTGACAGACAGGAATTTTGTCAAGATCCACCCACTGTGGCCAGCATTACGTAAAGGATAAAGGAGTTCACTGGCTCATAGCCATTTAACAGAATTCGGTCAATACAATTAGTGGATTATGCCTACACGGAAGATATGCCACTCATCTCTAAACAAGTGGACCAGTAGAAAGTTGCAATTTGGGGGCGCTTAAAAACAACTCTGAATTTATATTGGGGAAGATGATGCATTTTTAACGTCTTGCTCTCAGAAATTAAAAATAACTCTTTCGGCCAGCTGTTGCTCCTTTTCTGGGAGAGTTGGGAGGTGAAGAGGCACCACACGGTTGACGAAACTGCGCTGAACTGCTGCATTGGATTACGTTTTGCAGTACCTGTATGTAGGTTGAACGTCCGCGGCTTTTATTTCTTTCTCTTTTTTTTCTTTTAAAATGCCATGGTCAACAATCTCATCGCCACGTCTCAGTCGTGGTCAATAATTCCTGATGATGCTTATTTTAGGTTATCTCCCCTGGAAGCCACTGGTCATTTTCTAATTCAGCATTCTTTAAAACCTTGAAGTCCACCTTGGCCCAAGACCCCTCCAGAGGGCCACGCCCCTTCTCCCTCCTCTGAGAGCCCGGAGAACTCAAGGTCCGCAAGACAGGTTACCGCCCGGCCCTGCCCAACGGCCTTCTGGGAACTGTAGTTGTGACTTCTGACACAGCTGCCATATAGTGGAGTCTAGGACTACAGATCCCTACAGGCCGCTCGCACCGCGCCTGCGTGCGGGCACCTGCTAGAGGGAGGGTAAGTCGTCCCGGGAGCAGAGCAAGTCGGCGGAGGAGGCTTTGGCAGCGGCGGGCGACATGGACAACGCAGGGAAGGAGCGAGAGGCGGTCCAGCTGATGGCGGAGGCCGAGAAACGAGTGAAGGCCTCCCATTCCTTTCTCCGAGGGCTGTTCGGGTGAGCGCCAGAGTTCTTGCCTTTAGGGGTCTTGGTGCCCGGTCCCCCGCCCAGCCGGCTGCCACCGCAGAGTGCCCCGCACAACTGCTTAGGGTTCTGGGTTCCCAGGGGCCTTCAGAACACAGCCAGGTGGCTCATGCTCGGCCTTGGGTCCTGCATCCCCTAGGGGCCATTGCATCCCCTGGGCCATGCCTTGGGGGCTCTAGTGTGCACGCATCTCCTTTCGGGGATCCTCAGGCCTTGGGCATCCCCACATTCATCCCGAAGAACCCGTAACCCTCAACCCCCAGGTACCCAGAACCCCATAGGTGCCCCTGGAGACTTCTGTGTTTCCCGACGCCTCTCGTGTTGCCCGTGGTCCGATATTGGTGCCAGGGTCAGCGCCGAGCTGCGCCTCCGGGAGCACCACCTTCCTAGGGGACCGGATTGATTAATTTACCCGAGTCTGGATCATATGTCACTTGGGGTAGCCAGACAGGAAGGTCCTGGAACTCAGCCTGGCGCCTGGCATCTGCGAAAGGCTCACAGGAGCGCGAGGTCAGCGCCCGTTGTATCCTGGGCACTTGCTGGCTGGCTTCCGCCCACAGGCCTTGCAATCATTTCCTCGGATGGTGTGTTTTTCCTTTGCTGGAGTGATTTGTATCCATAGCCCCGGCCTCCTCCTGTTTGATGGTCCATAACGTTGCCTCTGTTTAAAGTCAGTATCTTTTGGGAATCCCGTGATTTGGTGTAATTCTTACATGCTGTAGTAGGGGGAGGCTTTACATTCCGAGCTTTCAAAAAGCAGAACCTGAACTGAGAGCTTGTGGAAGAATTCTGGGCTGTTGATTATGCGAAATGATTCAGCTGTTTATGACAGCAGCAGAAATTACGCGTGTACCTCATTTTTTTTTTCCATTTGAAAGTGAAGGATCTTTACCAAGAGCAGATTTAAATTATCGGGAAAGACTAGTAGTACATACTTAACTGCCGCATTTTGAGACGCAATTTTATTTCTGTACAAATTCAATTTGGACACTTAGTTCTGAAAACACACCCAGTGAGCTTTGACTTGTTTTTTTCCAACTTCGTTCATTTAACTGCTAATTATAATATTCGTTATTATGTAACAGTTTAGTGGAACCCCGTTATGTTTCCATCTCTTGGAAATCCTTTGGGTCACTTTGATACAGTGTGTGGTAGCATGATCTGCCAAGATAAAGAAGGAGACCACCCTTGGGGACCTCTAAGGGCATTTATTACTACTAAGTTTTAAATTTCTCTAGTAATATAAAGCTTGAAACTGTAGCTGTAAGTTATGGATACTCAGTTTCCCCTTTAAAGGGGGCAGGGAACATTCTTTGTATGTAATGTAGGTGCCAAATACTAATTCCTGTCTGTGAATCACAAAACACACGAGATTCACTGTGTGAAATTTAATGGCAGGGTGAATGCCTCACCATGGGAGGTGATTTAATGCACAATGAGTTTCAAATCGTGTTTCCTTGAGCCAGTTATGGGCATTTCTTTTGGTCAAGTGGCCCAAAGTTTTGAGGAAACTAGGTCAGATCTTGAGTCAACTAAAAGGATTTTGAGGAATTTTGATTGCTGAAGGAAGGTCTTTTTGACTGTGGCTGCCCTGTCGGTGACAGGCCGTGTAGGAAGACTCGTCTTCTGTCGTTCACACGCACTTTGCCGAGAGTTACTACTTCCTACTCATGTAGAAGCAGCAGGTCAGGTTATTATCTTGGCTTTGGAACCTGGATCAGGGTAACTTTGCGTCTTTGGGCCTCAGTTTCTTCTACTATAATCCACAGTGTATCTTGTGATTAGTAATCAGTCAGTTTATGTATTTTTTAAAACACTCAGGCTTATGGGTGTTGGAAATGGTTGTCAGATAATTATCCACATATTCATCAAAGCTGTCAACTCCGTTCATCAAGGAAGCAGAGGGCAGATGGATTGAGTTTTGCAGGATTTTGGAGCCAAAGACGTGGTCTCTGGTCTTTTAATAAATAAATACCTTAAGAGTTTTAGCCAGGTTAAGTGTCCTTTGTAGAATGAGGACTGGGACTGGGAGGTTCCCAGTAATATTTGGTCCTGGAAAGCTTAGGGGAAGAAGAATATATAGAGCTTCATGAGATTTATTATAAGTATGTAGTATTTGAAACCCCAAACCAGACCTATTTCTCTTTGACTTATAATGGGAAGACGAAGGTATTGTATCCGTATTAGATATTCTATGGATGTAACATTATGTGCATCTGTCCTCACCCTCCACGTTGCCCTGCCCAGCCCCCCTTAGGTTTTATCTTTCATTTATGGTAGTGCCATCTATCTCCATGTGATACCCTCAGGCTAACGGAGAATTCATAATCACATGTCTTGGTTCACCCAAGTATCCCGTTCTTCTAACGGGATGGACAGGTGATGTTTTGAGGATGTGGGGGACGGTTAAAAAGGCATTTGGCGTATCGCAGATGTTTCTCGTCGCTGGCTGTTCATCTCCAAACTGCAGATTAAAGCCTAGCTTGAGTTCATCTCCTGTATGCTGCAACAATGCTTTTGTGGCGATACTGCGTTCTCAGGATTGTTCCATAGATCTGTCTGTCTGTTGTTGCGTTAGATGGTAATATGCATGGATATTCCCAAGAGTGGGTCCTGTGGATGGTTCCTCTGTGTGTAAGCTACAAGCTTTTTCTGTCTGGAAGCTGGAGGTGAGGAGGGAACATCAGTGCGTTCCTTTCCCCAGCAAAGCCCCTTGCAGCTTCCTGGCAGGAAAATAGTTGAGGAAGGATGCAGATATGTCTGCAACCAGTTTTACGTTTGTTCAGTTTTTTTTCTAATTTCTGGCTAAAGAGTGATGTGTCTTTTTGGTTGAGGAGTCCAATCTCTCTTTTTCTGAAGAGCACGGTACAAAACCACCGCTTAAAACGTCAGATTTTCAGTTAGTGCATTGCCAGAGAGGGGCTGTGGAAATTTGTGGTTGACTTCAGATTCTAGTTTAAATCTCAACAAACTGCTAGAATGATCTGAAGCTGGCCAAACTGACAGTAGGATACTTTCCAATTGCAAAGGCCTGCTTGCTGTCTTCATTTGTTGCTAGGGGAACACAGGTAGAGGACCAAATTCATACTTAGGAATGGCAGGAGAATGTTTCTGGGCTATCTTCATTTGTTTGTTTGTTTGCATTTTGTCTGGGTGCAACCCCCAGGCTTTGTACTTGATGGGTAAGTATTTATCCGGCCACCGAGCTATGTTCCCAGCCCCTGATGGTTCCTTGGCAGTGTTCCTCGGTCTTGGGGCTCATTAAAGAGTTATCTATTTGGTGTAAATTTAGTGAAGGATTCTTTCTTTTGGCTACTGCAACTAAGCATGAGTTTACTTAATATCTGTTTGTGAAAGTTCAAATATTTCTTAGTTTTTGTAGGCTGTATCCATATTCTCCACTTGCTTTTATTCCAGTGAAGATTGTGTTTCCATGTTTCGCATGGTCATGTGAGAGCCTTGATAGCATTTACATCTTTCTCAGTTACAACTAATACTTAAACATAGATTCAACTTTATAAAAAGTCATTAATCGGCTGGACATCATGGTATTCACGTTTAATCTCAGCAATGGGGAGGCAGATGTAGGTGGATCTCTGTGAGTTCAAGGCTAGCCTGGTCTACTTAGGGAGTTCAGCCTGGTCTATGCAGTGAGTCTTAAGACAGCCAGGGATATGTAGAGAAATGTCTCAAAAACAAAACAGAGAAAGAGCAACAACAATAACAGCAACAAAATCATTATTGTAATCACTCATGCCTGTGATCTCAGCAATCAAAAGGCTGAAGCAGGAGGATCTTGAGCTTCAGGCCAGCCCATCTCAAAACCAAGACAGCAAATGTAAATTTGGTTACTTCCAGAGACAGATGTTACAGTGTAAGTAGTGTGGGAGTATTTGTGTATGTTTCTTATAAATGTAAAAGCTAAGATATAGATAACTGTATGTTATATAAAAGAGAAATAATACTTGCCCTTTAAATCTATAATTCTGGGATTTTGTACTTTGCATTTTTTTTCAGATATTCCTTATTTCTGGGAATTATTCATGAGTGTTGTAAATAATATTACCCTGTTCTGGTTGATTTTGTTTGTTTGTTTCTATTTTTGTCAACTTGATGAAAGCTAGAGTTCGCTGGGTAGGTGAACTTCAGCTGAGAAAATGTCTGCGTAGATTGGTCTGTAGGCAAGACTGCATGTATTTTCAGCGCACAGGATGGAGGCAGCCCTGAGTTCCATAAGAGCTGGCTGAGCAAGCCAGTGAGCAGCATTCTTCCATGACTTTTGCTTCAGTTTCTGCTTCCAGGTTCTTGCCTTGGCTTCCTTCAGTGAACTGTGATCCAGGACATGTAAGCCAAACAAGAGTCATATAAGTAAAACAGAGACAGAAAATTAATACCCCTGCAAAAAAAGAGCCAGAGGGAAAATTAATGATAAAGAAATCAGAAAGCAATAAAGGTAAAAGCATAACTAAAGAAGGCATGAAAATAAACCTTTTCCTCCCAAGTTGCGTTTGATTATGATGTCTTGTCTTAGCATAAGAAACCCTAAGACATCCCCAAACTGTCTATTTTTGAAATATCAAGAAAATGGGTGTAAACCAAGAGTGCCCATGTCACCAGATCATATTAACATCCTAGTTAAAGGGAACTTTATACCCTGTTAGACCTTCATAATGTATGTGTTCATTTGATTTGGGGATAAATGAATATATAAACGTTCTACCTATTTATGCTTTTACCTTTATTGCTTTCTGATTTTTTTATCATTTATTTTTTCCTCTGGCTTTTTTTTTGAAGGGATATTAATTTTCTGTCTCCATTTTACTTATCTGAATCTGGTTTGGATGTGAATTTTTAAACTGCTTTAATTGTGTGTCATAGAGCTTGATACATAGTGGTTTTATCTTCATTTGTTTTTCCCCCTTGATCCAGGAGTTGTTCTGGGGCATCCTTCTAGGCAGAAGAGCCTTATTGTA